TAGTAGACTTGGAGTATACCTTAGGATGTCTCTACTTGAACTAATATTAGGTCCCTATCCTCCTATAGTATAGCTTACTAGGTTTCTATATCTATCTCCTTACTAATATAGATGTATATCCTTAGGGCTCCCTAGTTATAGATAATTAGGTAGTATCTTAGGTCTTTAACTGTTGCTAGTCTCTTTATATATAGGTTGAGCTAGGGCTCTTAGATTGCAATAATGTAATGTTCTTTTAGGTTTAGTACTTAAAGGAAGCTCCTCTATACCTTGTCTTTGCTCTTATTAATATTGTACTATATAATGTTTAGTAATATTGCAATATTTATTGAGTTTTATCTATATTATTTCCCTATAGGTTTTCCTTTAGTCTTCCCTTACTTTAGACTAACATTTAACTAAGCTTTATCTGCCCTGCTTCCTTTCCTATAATATTAAGGTATCTTAGTCTCCCTAGTTACTAGTAACTCTTTTGTGCTAGTAAGGCCCTAAATGTAAACCTATTATCTTATCTAGACCTCTTTTGTAGCACTTAGCTAGGTTGCTTCTATACCTAGCTGCCCTAGCTTATTATGTATCTTTTTAGTATATTGATTCTAGCTTCCTTTGCCTTCCTAGCTGCCTATATTCTTACTAGGCATTCCTTCGCCTAAGAGGGGTGTCTTTTAGTATAGTATGTATATCTTGCTTCTCCCTTGTATGCTTTGTATTCTTTAACCTAGTAATCCCCTACGTAATAGGAGCAGGTATTAGTTGTTTTTGTATACTTAGCTACTAAGTGTCTATAGTGTTGACATTTGAAGCACTGCATTATCCTATAGTTGCTTCTATATATCTCTGTTTCTAATCTTTTAAAGTCCTAGAACAACCCCTAGTCTAGTACTATATTAGCTTACTCTACACTCCCTACCTAGATAATTAGGGAAGACTGCTTCTTAGTCTCTTCGATTTTCCTTTTAATCTATACCACTTTTGTAATCTTAAGGCCTAGGCATATAGCTTGGTTTTGTCTCTATAGGCTCTTAATATCCTGTTCTTCCTTAAAGCTTCTTATTATACTATAGGCTATAATTATAAATTGCTATTAGGAGACCTTTACTGTTTTCCCTATCTTAGTTGTCTATTCTTTTTGTGTTTCTAGCTTCTTTTTGTCCTGCTCTTATACTATAAATAGCTTAATTACCCCTTTACCTTCGTTCCTAGCCCTAATTACCTCTTTAACTGCAATTCTTTCTATAATCTCTTTCCCTATAAGTCCTTAGATTTCCTTTTGCTCCTATAGGTCCGTAATATAGACTCTAACTACTATCCTCGGGGGTTTTAGCGCCTCCTAACTAGCTACTACTGCCTAGGTATAGTGGTTTAAACTTGTCTCCTATTGTTTCTTCGTAATCTTTACTGCGACTATATTAGCTACCTTTGTAATAACGTGGCTTACCTAGTTGTGGATTGCTTTTAGTCCTCTAAGGAGTTCTAAGATTATTATCCTATATACCCTCTTAGGGGTTCTTCTATCTTCCGCCTTTAGCACCTCCTCTGCCCTAGTATATAGTACTTTCTATTCGTCCTCCCTTCCTTCTTAACTGTCTTCCCTCCGTCTCTAATTGTTCGCTGCCATTTTTTTCTTAAACTTAATATAAGTTCGTAACTTATTAGTCAAGCTGTACTTCTAAGTAAACCTAAAAAGCGTATTTAGAATTAGCAGATTAACTAGCTAATAATATACTATAGGTAGCTAGTAAGGATACAGCTATTATATAAAGAATACCTAAGTTGAAGTTCTATAACGCTAAACTAGGTCTATAGGGTACTATAGCAAATCCTAGTAAAGAAAAAATTAAAGTTATTATAGGACCTAAAAAGAATAATGCTAGATTTGCTTATATTAGTAACACGTACTCTTTTAAAATTAGTTTAAGAGCGTCTGAAAACGCTTGTAGCAAACTATAATATCCTACTACATTCTGACCTAGCCTCCTTTGTATACTTGCTATTGTTTTTCTTTCTGCTACTATTACAAACGCAACCGTTAATAATACGGGCATACTAACCAACAAAACTTCAATAATAGAAATAATTGTAGATATATATAACACATTTATATGTAAATTACATAAAACTAAAAATTACTTAAAATATAGTTATAAAAAAAGACTAGAAAGATTTTAATATAAAAAAAATTTGGTTACTAAAAAGATTTATTATAAAAGAGCATAAAAGCAATATTATATAAAAATTGTTTTTTATAGCTATATAATTATACAATAATAGAGTTTTAAATACAAAATTTATAAATAGTAAATGAGAAGGATTATGTCTTACCACCCACTATTTACAATAATTTTATAACTAAACCTATGCTAGGTATTCTATATTTAATTTATATAAAAATAGATCTATTAGCTAGCAATAGAACCTGTTTTTAACGAAGGATCTTATACATAGCCCCCTAGGTTCTAGAATAACTATTATTAGTACTATTATAGTATCTAGTATATGCTTACTTTTGATTTAACCTATAGCTAAAATAAGGTTTTTATTATTTAACTTATTTTTTAGGTCTATAGCGTAATATATCTCTTTTAATTCAATATCCTAAGCTATATATACCGTCTAATATTTATTTATTCTATGAAATAACTATATATAACTAGGTGCATCTCTATCCACATTTTAACACTTTATTTTTTAGGCTTTGTTATTTATTTAGAAGTTATTAATAGAAGATATCTCTATTGTAGCCTTTCATATCTACTTAGTTTCTTCTTCGCTACGTTACCTTAGTACCTATAAAGGCGTTACTTGGGAAAAATGAGGTTGAATTGGAAAATTAAATATTAAGTGAATTATTACACACATAAGTATTTTTTATTAATAAAGATATAAAAAAATATTATGTAAAAAATACTAGTAATAGTATTACAAAAAATAATATAAATAATATTAATCTATTGTTTAAATTTAAGTAAAGCCTATAAAGATAATATTTTACTTACTATAATTATAGTATTTATAAAGGACTTGTATATTTTTATATTATATAATAAAATTAAATTGAAAACATTACTTATTTTTCATAGTCTATATAATTTTATCCCTAACCGCGAAATATCTATAATTATTATTAAAAATAATAGTATTAGCAAAGTTGTTATATAAACTCCTAGCGAAACAAGGTTATATATAAAGTAGCTTTAGTAACAATTCTATTATTCTCTTACTTTCTAGTAAATTCTTACTTATCCTAATATTATAAATACTAACGGAGATTGTACCTAAACGACTAGGTATTTTATTTAGCGAAACTAACCTATACCTATGTTTAATAGACAAAGTAAAAGTAGAGCTTATATACAAGGGAGGTAAAACAGTATTTATATTACAAGTATTTATTAGGGGTTCAATTATATAAGGAAACTACTAAACTACTACTTATACTACTAGTTGAATTACCTAAACTATCTAGACTACTTAAACCTAGCTCTAGATTTAATAGCAAGGATATATTTATATAGGATAATATAGCCTTAATAAACATAGGACATAAAATACTATTAGGTATATACTAAACAAGTTTTATAATCACTGCTTTACTATATATTTTTCATAATACTTTGTATATAGAATTACTGCTTATATATATTAATAATGCAACAAATATAAAAGAAATTATATATAAACTAATTTAAATTATACTATTTGTTAAATAGGCGACTAAGTATAGTACTAATATTGATTGTATACTTATTATAATAGGAAATACAAAACCTAAATTATGCTTAAAATAATCTAATAGGCAATATAGAAAAACCTATATACAAAATAATTGATCTAGAAAAACTTGCTATATATACTTATAGTAGTATACCTATTAATATAACTATATAGTCTATTGCGATTTAAATTAATCTACTTATAAACATATAAGTTGCAAATAGCCGAAGAAATAGAGGAGAAATGATATAAATTTAGCTATTTAATATTAAGAAAAATTAATTATTTACAAAAAGTAATTTTTTTGTATACTAGCTTTTTTCTAATTATTCTTCCTTATACTTAATGTCATTTATTTCTTATTGTTCTTATAATTATATTAAAATTTTTTCTAATAACAAAGATTCTATAACTATTAGCATCGAACTATATAATATACTACATATTTTAGAATATTAATTGTAAAAAACATCCTTCTCTATTAATTCACATACTTATTTAATATAATCTACTAGGATATATATTACATTTAATACCTAAAGAAGGGCAAGCGTAGGAGTGTATAACGTCTCTAGATAAAATAATAAATCTTGCGTATATTGGTTTAGATAGTAAAACTCTATTATTAACTTCTAATAATCTTAATTAACCTTCTTCTAAGTCTGAATTAGGTATAAGGTATAAATTAAATTCTAACTCTTTATTACTATTATTTATAAAGTTAGTATATTAGCAACTTTAGTATTATTAATGTCCTTTAATAAAAACTATTAAGGAAGGATCTATAACTTTGTTTATTAAATATAAGAGTTTAAATAAAGGAAAGGCTATTAAAATTAGTATTAAAGCGGGAGTTATTATTTAGATAAGTTCTATAAGTGTACCGTAGTTAAGATATTTGTTACTAATAGGTAATTTCTTTATTATATAATTTTTTATAGTAGATACTATAATTTAAGCTATACTAAATAATATAATAACTAGATAAAATACAATATTATTATAAAGTTCTATAATAGCCTCTATTAAAGGGCTAGCACTGTCCTAAAAATATAGACCTTAAGGTTAAGGTACGTTATATAGTATTTTTATATTGTTAAATAAATTCATTCCTTAATTATATACAATTATTATATTAATATTTATAAATTAAAATACTTTTAATACTTTTAAAATTATAACGTAAATAAATTCAATTGCTTACAGTTGAAATGTATATTAAAAATAAAAGAATTAAAGCGCTTTCACAAAGTTTCGGCTCAAAGAGTGAAACAAGACCGCAATATGAAATCAAGATATTGCTATTGCCGGAGCCGACGGTCCCTCATTGTCACGCTTCTACTACGATAGCCCCAGACTTTTTGAGACTTTCCATACAGGTCTTTATCTTCCTGTCGAAGATACAGAGTCTAGAACTCCTCCGATGCCCGCATCCTCGCCTTGCGCTTCGCTTTGGCTGCTTTCTCCTTCTCGCTTAAGTCTAGGCTACTGAGCAGGTTCGTAAGACCAGTCAGAACTGAGTGGCGATCTTGACGTAAATCCTGCTCTTCCTCCTCCGAGGCAGTTTCAGGCCGAGCCATAGCGCTGGCTGCCGATCCCCGGACCTCAACCCGAGGACTAGGCATACTGTGTTTGAAACCAGTGCTTGCAGTAGCATTCAAAACCTGTTCTCCTATGCTAGGACTGTTTCCTCCTGCGCTCTGATGTCCAGATGAGGACGCCACGTCGTCAAGGCCAAAAGGAACCCCACGCCTGGCCCGTTGTACGGAACGCTCAAGTGATGGGGGACCGGGAGTGGGCTGCGGCGTTGAAGGGCTGCTTCCCGAATCCCACTCGGAGCCGAGGCGGCGAGCTTGCTGAGGTGCTTGTGTTCTGGCATCTGTTGCTGCTTCCTCGCCGTCTGCATCTAGTACGCCCGGGGGCGGAGGATACTTAAGAGGCAGATCGACAGAGGTGTGCCACTTGGAAGCGTTGGGGTTCTTCAGCAAGTATTCCAGTTTCTGCTCGAACCACTCTATGTCGTCCTCGGTCTTGGGTGTCTGAGCTGGGTACATCCGCTCAATCAGAGTCTGCCTGTACAGCTTGTCCTCCTTGAATGCTGAGAGCCAATCCGAGTTCTTGAACTTGAATTTTTCGAGTTCCTTGAACAGTAATACCTCTTGCCATTTGAGGAGGTAGTGGCGGCTCGCATATTTCGGGGCTCCATGGAGCGTGTTGCTGTTGTTATCGTGGCTTTTGGCTCCATACCACTACGAAGTCAATAGTTAGCAACGGCGGGCTAGTAAGCACGACAGAGAGGGAGCAGACGTACCACTGGTCCAAGCAGGTAGAATGGTGGTGATGAGTCGGCCATGCTCGTGATGTCCAGCTGGACAGGCAGTTGTAGTGGATCGGCGCTACTGCTGTCAAGATAGACAGACAGTTGGGAGAAGGGGTTGTGGTGTGTCTCCTGTAGGTATAGAAGAAGAAGGATAAGGAGATGTGAAGCAAAAGGGAAGGGGGAAACAAAAGGCGAACTGTTGATGATTGTGTGTCGGTGGCATGACGACTCGGAAACATGCAGGTCTCATGTCTCACGTACAGTATTGTGTCCGCCGTGCCGCCGTGCGACATGCTATGCAGTGCGAGATGGCTCGTGCCACTGCCACCGCAGTGTCAGTCACATGCATTCTCTGGAGTGGGAGGCCGTGGCGTGGCGTGGCGTAGCGTACCAATCTGTTGTGAATCAGTCAGCATGCCAAGGATACACCAACCAGGGATCCTGGATACTCGTCAAATTTGATGTATCGCATGAGTCTTGGCGTCGACTCTGCAGCTCTACAGCTTCGCAGCTGCAACACTGCGCTCTGAAACCTTCTCATTTAAATCTGTTCTCCCTTCTCCGTCCCTTCCGCGCACGACTCGCCGTCTTCATCCTTCTAAGCCTAATCTGAACCTATTTGCAACCGCCTGTACCAACCATCTTTGACCGAACAAAGAATAAGCGATGCAGAGTCTGACCAAAGAGGAAAACACTTCCGAATAGCAATTGCAAAAGAGAGTCTGCAGCTCGCTTTGCGTACCTATTTCTGGTCCTTCTCTTGCAGAGGCTTTTGGTATTCAGCATGTGTCTTCGTTGCTAGGAGATTGGGCTCAGATTGTGATCGAGAAGACTATGTACCGGGTCTTGGAGTGGTGGTGTTTTGCTTTGCTTCCCTCTCTTCGGGTATGGCGGTGTTCTGCTTTTGCTTTTCTGCCTCTGGTGTTGCTTCAGTTCCCTCTCTTCGGGTATGGCGGTGTTCTGCTTTTGCTTTTCTGCCTCTGGTGTTGCTTCAGTTCCCTCTCTTCGGGTATGGCGGTGTTCTGCTTTTGCTTTTCTGCCTCTAGTGTTGCTTCAGTTCACTCTCTTCGGGTATGGCGGTGTTCTGCTTTTGCTTCAGTACCGCGAGCAGATGCGTGCTACTATTCGCCGTGTTGCTAATCAGTTTGATTAGCAGTACCTGTCCAACACCCGCACCTTCTATGCCAAGAACTACAAGTATCCTTTTAGCAAGAAGTGAGGGTTGGCATTGCGAGAGATAGTGTTTCCTTTTGTTTGCTTTGAGCTAGGCAGTTTGATAGTGAGGGTCATGCTGCCAGGCTGGCAGATTAGGGCATTGCCGAACACAACCTATCTCGAGTCGAGAGATCGACAAAGATAGGCCTCTCTAATAATATATAGTCTCTGGGTAAAGAGCAGGTAGCCAAGATTGTAGAGGCACTCAACCGATCTAATTAGTTACTAGTCAATGGCGTAACTCGTAGCGGAGAGAATGATCTGGCTGTTACTAGAGTAGACGGCCTTGGTGGAGCTGATGCGAGAGAGCGTTTCAATGGAGGAGCTGATCGTAGCGAAGCCTTCGAGCCATTGGTGGATGGCGATAGCTGGGCTCATATCGATCAGCCGTAGGTGGAAGTGATGAACTTGACTGGTAGTGCTGGTGGTGCTGGGGCAGCTAGAGGTGCTGTTGTTGTGCTGTTGTGTTGTTGTGCTGTCGTGAAGGTCGTGATAGAGTCGTGAAGCCGGTGTCGTAATGCGCGGAGCGGCACGAAGCAGCCGCGATCTCAAAGCCGGATTATTCCCGCCAATGGGGCTCTCTGCTATAGAACTAGTAAATCCGGGGTCCGGGGTCTTAGTAGGATTCGATGTCCTTGTGCTTTCTATTATAACTAAGCTAAGTAGAACAAAACATTAGTTTGTTGCCTATTAAATTATATAAAGAAGACTAAGTATTACTAGAAATAAGAAGCTACTTATATATATATATAAAATTAGCCTTAGTACTTAGTAGTGCTAACTAATCTATAATACTCCCCTTTAGGCACTTCCTACTATATAATAAGGGTAGTTTAGTTATATTCTAGCCTCTCTAGCCTTACTTCTTATTGTCCTCTAGCTTTATATACTATCCTTAGTACTTACTTTTGCCTTATTCTTTATATGCCTTCTAAGTAATTCTATCTTATTAGCTAAACGGAGCTCTTTATTAAATTATATATAGTGTCTTTCCTAGCCTATACTGCTAATTAGCTGCTTCCTTTTATATAAATATAAGCAAAGGCAAAGTCTAGTTTGCTAGCAATTAGCCCTATTATAAGCTTAAGTACGGACTTAAAAAACTAAGCTAGCTATTATCTTTATAAGCTTGTACCTTCTTGCTTTAACCCTAAGTTTTCTTCTACTAAACAATAATATATATATACTAATAGTACTTCCTTCCTTTAGTACTAATAATACTTTAGGTAGCCTTCTAAAAAGAAGATATTATAGCTACTATTAAGTACCGTAGTAGAGGATATATAGCTACCGGCTTTAGCAAGGATAGTAGTAGTAGTAGAAAGCGCCTAGGTATACTTAATTTTAGCAGTTCGGTTGTACGCTTTTCCTAACTTTATTAGGTAGTAGTAGAGATCCTAAGGGCCTATAGTAGGGCGAGGCCTCTTAGTACGAGTTAACTATAGAGTAGCTCCTTTCTACCCTTAAGGCTACTAGTCTTAAGAAGAAGACTAGCAAGGACTCGGATAATATTATCTAGATTACTATTAATTAGAGCAATTTCCGCACTATTACTAAGCTCTTCGTTAATGCCTTTAGACTTAGTATAACTCTAGCTACCTTACTACGCGACTAGGGTATTAACGTAGTTAGTTATAGCAATCTATACCCTTCTCGTACTATAGTCCTAGAGTTAGTAGGAGAAGATAATCCTCTTAGATTTAATGTCTTCCGTACTTCTCTTACCTATAACCCTTAGAGAGGAGGCTACTATACTTTAGGTACAACTCTTGCTTATACTAAGGGCAGGATTATTAACGACCGTGCTCCTAGTTCCTATAGTTATTAGTCTAAGAGCAAGAAAGCTCCTTATAAGCCTTATAAGAATAAGAAGAAGTTTAATAAGGGAACTTACAGCTCCGATATCTAGGCTAAGATTAACGATTCTTCCGATCCTAGGTTAGTATATAGAAGAGCCTACCTTAACTATACTTATAGTAACTATCCTAACTAGTGCCTATTCTACAATAAGAATAGCAACTTTGCTAAGACTCGTAAGTCTAATAAGAAGCTAACTAATTCTACTAAGAGTAGTCGCTCTACCTCTCGTAGCGGCACTTAGCGTAAGCTAGCTTAGAATAATATCGAGGCTTCTCTAATCGTCGATCCTCTCTTTTATTATAGCCTAAACGTTCTTATTAAGCCTTAGACGGGATATATAGATCCTAAGGAGATACTAGGTATTATACGCCTCCTATTTACGTATAATCTAGATAACACTTAGCCTAGATTTATTCGCAACTTAATTGCGAGTATATAAGGTACTATTAATCGCTTTAATAAAGCTTAGGTCGCTATAGTGTCTATATCTAAGGAGGATAAGGATAAGGATAAGGATAAGGATAAGGATAAGGATAAGGATAATAAAGAGGATCCTAACTCCTTTAGTAGTTTTAGTAATAGTAACTCTAATAAGGATATAGAGAATTAGCCTCTCTTTTCTTAAAGCTAAATTAGAGAGGAAAGAGGGCTTTCTTAGCTAGGTTAGGAGAGCCCGCTATTAAAACTCCTATACATTTTCATTTAATTTAGCTTAGTATTAGAGAATTGGTTTCTATATTAAGTCTTAATACTAGACCTAAAAGATAGCTCTAGTTAGTGTAGTATTTTCCGGGAGTAATAAAATAAGAAATAATTAGCTTAAGTTAACTACTAATTCGAGTATAAATGAGATTCTAGTACAAATAAGATTCTAGTATAAATAAGATTCTAGTACAAATAAGATTCTAGTACAAATAAGATTCTAGTACAAATAAGATTCTAAAAGAGTAGCTTAGGAAGTTATCCCGTTTTAGTCTAGTTCTTAGATAATTAGGTTGTTTGACTTTAGCTTAGTTAGCTAGTCCGCTATCTGCTTTTTAGTTTCGATATACTAAATGTTAAGTCTCCCTTTCTTATACTGCTCTTTATAATAGTAATTTCTTAGGGAGATATGTCTTAATCTTCTAGAGTTAATATAATTATTAATAAGATAGATAGATAACTAATTATTATAGTTAATTGTAATACGGTTAATAGCAAACCTAGTAAAGTTACTAATTTCCTTAGAAAGGTTTCTTAACTACTTTAACTCTCTTGCAGCTTTAGTAAGTACTATATACTTAGCTTTAGTACTAGAATAAACTACCTCTTTCTATAGTTAAGACCTCTATAGAACTAGTCCTCCTACTATTAGAAGTAGAAATCCTAATATAGACCTTATAGTCCTAGGATCTCTAGCAAAATTAGTATCTAAGTAGACCTTTAGACAGCTTTTAAGCTTAATTTTGTTAGAGTTGCTTTTCTTAAATACTAGGGATTTGTTAATTATACCTATAATATACTTCTAAATATGCCTTACTACTATAACGTGTTTAGGTCTAGGATTCTAAAGAAATCTAGCTAGATAGTTAATAGTATAGATAATATTAGGTCTTGTCTAATTTGAAAGATATTATAGCTTTCTAATTATTTAATTAAAGTATTCGTAGTCCTCCTTTATGCATTTAGGTTTGAATACAGTTAGGAGTCTCTTAAGTAAATACTTAATACCTTTGTATTAGTTAAGGCCGTGCTTCTATAGCTTTTTTAAGGAGTAATAATACTAAGAGATTTTAAGGCTTGTACTATCCTTAATAATGTATAGACTAAGAAACTAGTTTGTCTGTATAATCTTAATAGTATAGTTCTTCCTTAGACCTTTAATAAGCTTGTTAATCTTAGCTTAGGTTTTGCTAAAGATCTAAAAGTTATTAATATAAAGGACAACTATAATTCTATTACTAACAAAGAGACAACTGTTACTTCTAGTTAGTTTAAGCCTAAGAATCTTAAGTGTATTAGCAGCATTATAATGCTATAAAGGAGTAGCCTACTTTATACTAAATAGGCCCTTCTTAATCTCTATATACGGGAATTGCTTTAGATCTTTCCTAATAAGATATAATCCTTTAGGTGCAAGTATATAGTTAGGTCTGTCTATATCTAGTTCTAGAAAAGCAGCCTTAACATCTACTTTACATATCTTCTAGCTAAAGGTAGCTAAAAGTCCTAAGCAGAATCTACTTATTATAGCCCTTAGGGTTAGGGCAAAAGTTTGTTTAAAGTTAACCCCCTTCTTTTAAGTAAAACCCCGGGCTATATATCTTGCCTTAAACTTCTTAATAGTACTATCTAGTAGGCGTTTAATATTCTAGACCTATTTGCCTAATATTAGTTGTCTTCCCTTAGGAAGTTCTTTAGTAGATATCTATTTAAGAGTACCTATTTTGTTAAAAGCCTTAAGCTCCTTATAAATAGCTTCTCTCTAAAGTCTAGCATTTTTGCTATTTAATGCTTTATAAAGAGTTAATAGCTCTCCCTCTCTAGGCTTCTTAGCCTTCTTCTTTAGAAATCTCCTTAAGGTAGTATTTATAACTCTAGTTACGGTGCTATACTCTAGTCTTCTTATAACTCTGCCTCTTAAGGATGTTATAGAGGGTATATTAGCTAGGTCTATAAACTTTTCCCTAGACTTCTAAGCAAATTCTAGTAAGGGACTTCTACGCCTCTTATATCCTACTATCTAGTTAGATATATATATTTTTAGTATATCTTCTTAATTCTCCTAATGCTATATTAGATCGGACTAGGCTTCTTCTTATATTGCCTCTTAGGCTAGAGGTTGTAGTGCAAAATTCTAAGCATTAGGAGGTAGTTTAGGAATCGGTTTAGCTAATAGCCTCTACTCCCTCTAAAGAGGTAACTCTAAAGGCTCCCCCTAAAGAGTAGGCTCTTTAGCTACTGCTAGACTAGGATTATATATTACAACTTCCTAATTCTAGGGACTAGGTACTATAGATGCATTTCCCGAGGGAAACTTAGACGTTATACTATTCTCTATATTAGATAAGAACCCTAAAGGAACTCTAGATTCGCCTAGATTAATTCTAGCTTAGGAATGTTCTATAATCTAAATATAGGGAGGAGCTAGATATACTTTGTTTCTTTTATTACTAAATGTCTAATCTTTATAGAAACCAATATAGCAAGAGAACTTGATTTTATGCTGCTAGATTCCCCTTTTATTATTAAACTATAGTCTCTATAATAGGTAGTTCGTTAAAGAGTAATCTTAGAATCCGATATTCTAGTAGATTACTACTCTTAAGGCAAATTTAGTACTCTTTAATCGTTCTTCCTTATTAATATACTTATATACCTTATAACTAAATCTTCTAACTCTTAAAAGATTAACTAGTGCTCCCCCTTAATTTAAGTCTTTCTTAAGGTTAATAATAGAAACACCCTTAGTTGTTAGATTTGCAAGTCTGTTAGTAAGGTACGTCAAATAATATACTATATATAACTATATATCCTATAGCATCCCTAAATCAAGCATTATAGCTCTTGCGTTCGTTAAGATAGTCTTATTTAATAACTCTGCTATGCTATTTTGTTTAGGAGTATATAGGGTTAAGAAGTCCTATCTATATCTAAGGATCTTAGTAGCCTTTTAAAGCTACTTGTTATTAAACTGTTTCCTATTGTTAGAGAACTAAATCTTTAGCCTCTTTCTATATCAGTAAAACCACTTGTTTATCTATTTCTTAATAAGTTATAGACTACTACTTACGTTTAGTATAAAGTTATCCTATCTTGCCCCTACCTTTATGTTAC